AGTTATGCTGAGCCAAAATATCCAGGACACTGAAGACAACATTGTGTGACTTTTCCTGGGGAAACATGAACAAGCATGTCTATCAGATGGAACACTGATAGAGGAAAAAACTCCACAGTCTTCCTTAGTAAACCACTGGGTCCAGTTGACTCTGGTGTATGGGGGGGGGGGGGTCTTAGAGGAGCCTGGATGACTCAAAGGGAATGTGTTACTGAGAAGCCATTGATGAAAACACAGGAAGGTGACATCCCTGAGGCTCTGAGGACAGTATACAGGCAGACCAGCTGAGGACTGACAGTTAACTGCTCTTCTAAGCTGAGGGACAAACTTTTATAAACCTTGGAACTTTCTGAGCTTCCTGAATCTTGTAAGTTTTGTTTACTCCCTCGATTTTACCAACTTCCTTTACTTCTTGATTCTTATGAGCCTTTCCCTTCCCTGCACAAGACACTATTTCAGGGTAGAAGACATCTACACAACACACAAAATTTATTTCCTTGGGTCTGCTTCACCAGCTTAAATATTTGAGTAGGAACTAATAGTGGATAGATTGGCCAATCCAAACAGAACCAACGTGGTTCATCAGTATTCAACCTCCAAAGCCCCTAAACAGCTCTAGCATATTTCAACTCTATTAATGCAAAAATGTTGAAATATACAATTTTCCCCTTCTAATGACTAGTCGTTCTGAGACTGAGAGTACCAAAGTCTGGAGCTTATGCCCACTTCACTGTTTAATAAGACATTAGCAATTGTCAGTGAGGCTCTAATGACAGTATTAAAATGCAAACCAAGATAATTCATATACTGTTCCATTACTTAGAAGTAGAACTTTTGTTCTGTGGAGCTTTATGCATAAACTGAGACAGAATAATTTGCATAAAACAGATAATTAACTCCTGCTTGCATGAGGCTTTAAATTTTACAAAGTGTTTTAATGTAGCATTCCTCATTCAACCCTTATTAATATGTTATGGTGTAGGCTATAGGCTGCATATTCAAACTTCTCATTATACAATCTAAAACAAAGACTTACAGACAGCACTGACTCTAAGAGTAGATGAGAAATACTCCATCCAAATAACAAAATATGCTTTCATAAGTTTGTTTCTTGATAAGACTAATGACAACTTCCTTGAGACCAGAATCACATTTAAATGATTTGTGTGTCTATAATACATATTTTATCCACCCAACAACATTACACATTGTGGGCAAATGCAGTCCAAACACAAAAAAGATGAAAAAGGTAGCTATAACACAAATAGCCCTTAATTACCACAGCAAGACAAAATCAGTAGAGAAAGGTGGAAAATCTGCTGTGCATAATAACTATGAGTTATTCTTAAATTATTTTAATTTTTAAAGTTAATTTGTTCCCTTGTGTGTGTATGCTTTAGGATTTTGTATGTTTTGACACATAACCATGATAAATAAAGTATTGTAAAGCATGAATGCATTCAAAATTGAGGTAACTGCCAAGCATGGTGATACATTCCTATAATTCCAATCCTCAACAGACCTGAGGCAAGACTTGAAGAGAAAGATTAGTCTGGACTATATACAGAGACTCTGCCTCCTGCCTTCTGTCTGAAAGAGACAGAGAGGGGCGGGGGATAAGAGGCAATTCCTAGAGCAAATAACCCAACAAATCATTAAGACAAAAATATATGCATAAAACCACAGCTAAAGAGAACAGGACTCCATGATTCATTGTATGGATCTGTGCCAAATATTGTTGGTAGCCCCAAAAAAGACACACAAAAGAATAGCACTCATAAAAATAAGCAAGAAATCTGCTGGGTAGTGGTGGCACACACCTTTAATCCCAACACTCGGGAGGAAGACAGGTGGATCTCTGTGAGTTCGAGACCAGCCTGGTTTACAAGAGCCAGTTCCAGGACAGGCTCCAAAGAAGCAATACAGAGAAACCCTATCTTGAAAAACCAGAAGAAAACAAGTTAAGCGAGAAATCTAAATCTGCAGTAGTAAAAAAAAAAAATAAGTACACATACTGCTAAGTAAAATCAGTGGGCAGGTACTGCTGCAATGGGTAGAGAGCTCCACAGCAGGCAGGAGGCTATGGGTTTGATCCCAGCATTGCATGAACTAGGCACAGTGTTATGCACCTATAATCCCTATATGCACTTGGGAGATGGAGGTGGGATGATGAAAGATCCCAGTACTTGGGAGATGGAGCCTGAGCTACAAGAAACCTTGTCTCCAAAAACAAATGTAAAATAAAATTTAAAAGCATTGTAATTTTGAAATGATAGACAAAGTAACTACTGCTAAGGCCCAAAAAGAAAAAAAAAATCTATAAAAGCAAAAGTAGTCTAGGAAATCCACTGAGAAAGTAGTACATAGATGCAAAGGGAGCTTGGAGGGAGAGAGGGAGGAAAGGAGAAAGGGAAGGAGGGAGGGAGAGACAGAGGGAAGGAGTTAGGGAGAGAAGGAGGGAAGGAGGGAAGAAGGGATAGGTGGAAGGAGGGAGGGAGGGAGGGAGAGACACAGGGAGGAAGGGATATATACGACCAAGATCCAGAATATCAAAAGTGGTTGCTGTCTTAGTTAGGGGTTTTATTGCTGTGAAGAGATACCATGACCACTGAAATTCCTATAAAGGAAAGCATTTACTTGGGGTGGCAGCTTAGTTTCAGAGGTTTGGTTCATCTCGGCAGAACATGGTGTTGTGCAGGCAGATGTGGTGCTGGAGGAGTAACTAAGAGTCCTATATCTTGCATGCAACAGAAAGTCAGCTGAGACATGAACATGGGAAACATCAAAGCCTGCCCTCAATAGTGACACACTTCCTCAAACAAGGCCATACCCTCTCCAACAAAGCCTAATAGTGTCACTCCCTATGATATTATGGGGGCCAATTATGTCCAAACTGCCAAAGTCAGCAAACCAACAGGAAAGACAAGCAGAGGACATGAGCAGTCATTGAACAGAAACACATACCAGGAAGGATGCTCAAACTCACAGTACAGTAGGCTACAGAAATCAAAACAGCCACAAGAAAAGGTTTCATACTCACCAATCTGCCAGAAACTAACAACAGGAAATGCAGGTATTAGAGAGCAAGAGGGAGACAGAGCTCTCACTTGGGGGCAGAGCAAGGGGGACATCTAGTGCAGCAACTTAAAATAATTGGACATCTACTAAAAGTAAAGATGCCATCTCCTTTATCAAGAAATTCCCTATATATACCTTGGAATTCTTATACATATGGGTGTGCTTGAAGAGGTGTGTGTGTGTGTGTGTGTGTGTGTGTGTGTGTGCGCGCGCGCGCGCGCTAAAAGCTCTGGAGAGGATAGAGTGACAGGTGGAGAGAGTTACACCATGTTGAATTGCCTCTCTCTCCCTCTCTCTATTTCTCTATCTATCTCCTAAATTTTTCAATTTTTCCCTCACTGTTTCTTTTTTTGTTTGTTTGTTTATTTGTTTGTTTGTTTGTTTGTTTGTTTGTTTGGAGAGGTTCTCACTGTGTAACACAGACTAGCCTGTGAACTCACCATGAAGCTCAGAATTGTCAGGAACTTGCAACTCTCCTGAGTGTAAGGGTTATGCAGACATGATCCAGTACTCCCAGACTGTAGAAAGCATGGAAAATATTTATTAAAATTTAGTACCGAGTTGTGTTTGATGGTTTACACCTCTTTAGTAACTGCATACATGTGGCAGTGTCTGTGGGCCTCATAAAGGTCCCCTATTTGAGTCTGTGTCTTAGTCTCAGCTCTAAATCTAAGAAGTCCCATCCAAGACAGTAACCCTTCCATCTTCATATCGTAAGAAACATGTATAGGCTTTTCTGACAAACATAAAACTTTTGTTTACAAGGAATTCAAATCTCTTTATCTTATCCATCTGGTAGAACCTTCTGATGAGAAATAAAGTTTTTGCCTTGCTGAGACACTTTAATTGGTGGCCCCTGTAAGGAGTACGGTTTTTTCCTCCCGCCGCCTAGTTTTATCCTGCCGCCGCGCCAGCCCCAAATAATACAGAGACTCTGTATTTGATATTATGCTGTTGGCCAGTTACTTGTTTCTTATAGGCTAGCTCTGTCTTAAGTATTAACCCATTTCTATGTATTTCCACGTGGTCTTAACAGCGAGAGGCAGCTGGCGGTTCTATTCTCTCCAGACTCTCCATCTTTCCTCTTCTTCCTCCTTCCTCTTTCCTCTTTCCTCCTAGTCCCGCCTATCTAGCTTTCCTATTGGCCAACAGTGCTTTATTTATTAACCAGTATGAGAAACATATACAGAATGACATCTCTCATCAGGTCCCTTTCTTCGCAACCTCAAACTTTATTTCTAACAGTCTCCTGCCTCCTGTCTTGCTTCATCCTAAATCAATATTGACTTGCTTAGAGAATCCCTAGCACTGTTATGCAAGGGTTCTAGATTTCATCTCACTGCCCTAAACCACTTTAATTTCTAATGTGCTCCACACGTGGTCCCTAAATGGCAGTCCTTGGTCCGGCATCCACAGAATCACAGGCATACAACATCACTGGTGTTTTCTAGCTTGACTTCCCATCACTGGTGTTTTCTAGCTTGACTTCCCATCACTGGTATTTTCTAGCTTGACTTTCCCAACCACAAAGGCTCATCTTTGTTGTTCCCTTTATGATGTATGTCTCCCCCCAGTATTGACACTGCATGGAATCTTCTCCAGAACTTGGAATTCATCTTTGCATTCCAGGCCTTATATTTTTCCTCAGCCTAGTCTTGTTTCAGATATATCAAATTGTCTTCCCTCTCTACCTCCCACCCTCTGGACATGCTTCCGTCCCAGGCTATCAACCAGTAGCAAGTAAAAAACCAGCCTGCCTCCATCTTGGGCTTAAAAGCCACCTTTTGGAAAGGCAAACTAGGTTCAATACTGTTTATTATTAAGGGTTTCTCAAGTTTCAAAAAATTGTTTATAACCATCTTGCAACCCTATCTTTGTTTAAGAAGGTTAGATGGGATCGCTACGGTTGCCCGTGTTTGTGAGTCGCAGGGAGCAGGGCCGGCGGGCGGGCTGTGTCGGGATGCCGGAGCTGGCCGTGCAGAAGGTGGTGGTCCACCCCCTGGTGCTGCTCAATGTGGTGGATCATTTTAACCGAATTGGCAAGGTTGGAAACCAGAAGCGGGTTGTTGGTGTGCTTTTGGGGTCATGGCAAAAGAAAGTACTTGACGTATCCAACAGTTTTGCAGTGCCATTTGATGAAGATGACAAAGACGATTCTGTCCGGTTCCTAGACCATGATTATTTGGAAAATATGTATGGAATGTTTAAGAAAGTCAATGCCAGAGAAAGAATAGTTGGGTGGTACCACACAGGCCCTAAACTGCACAAGAATGATATCGCCATCAATGAACTCATGAAAAGATACTGTCCCAACTCTGTGTTGGTCATTATTGACGTGAAGCCAAAGGACCTGGGACTTCCTACTGAAGCTTACATTTCAGTGGAAGAAGTTCACGATGACGGAACACCAACATCAAAAACTTTTGAGCACGTGACCAGTGAAATTGGGGCGGAGGAAGCTGAAGAAGTGGGAGTGGAACACTTGTTAAGCAAGGACACTACAGTGGGAACACTCTCCCAGCGGATCACAAACCAGGTCCATGGTTTGAAGGGACTAAACTCCAAGCTCCTGGACATCGGGAGTTACTTGGAGAAAGTGGCCAGTGGCAAGCTTCCCATCAACCACCAGATCATCTACCAGCTGCAGGACGTCTTCAACCTGCTGCCGGATGCCAGCCTGCAGGAGTTCATCAAGGCCTTCTACCTGAAGACCAATGACCAGATGGTGGTGGTGTACTTGGCCTCACTGATCCGCTCTGTGGTGGCCTTGCACAACCTCATCAACAACAAGATCGCCAACCGGGATACAGAGAAGAAGGAGGGACAGGAAAAGGAAGAGAGCAAGAAGGAGAGAAAAGATGACAAAGGAGAAGAGTGATGTAAAGAAAGAAGAAAAAAAGGAGAAAAAGTAAATTGTGTAGCTTTTTTTATTTGTAAATTAAAATCTTATAAACCAACTTGGTGTGCCACTAGAGGGTTCTTTGTCACATTCAGTGCTTGTTAGAAGCTATTCTGACGAGCACTCTGTCTCCGTCACCCTTGCTGTGGCATTTTGTGGAGATGAATGGACAGAAGGACGGATCTCAGCCTCCCTACACTGCAGCTTCAGCTGTATTCGGTAGGTGGGGGTGGGGGGGAGAATAACGTAACCTTTGGCATTCTTCTTTCTTTTATCCTTAAAACTGGTATCAGGTGTGTTTTCCTATCTTAAAAGAGCCATGGAATCTGTTGGTGGTAATTGGCAAAACTGCTAAATGGAGTTTTTGGATCCCATATTCTATGCCAACAAACACTTGAGCTCAGACCTTTCTGAACTCTTTAGACCACACCACCTTTTGGACCTGTAACTCTTAGAGCTTGTGGTCCAGGTCCATGTATTGTTTACCTTCAAAGATACAATTAAATGGCTTGGTTTAAAAAAAATATATAAGTAACGTGTTATGACAACCTGTTGTTATGACTTCCTTGGTTGTGCCCACCATGTCTGTTTCCACAGCCTGGGTAGGACTAACCTGTTATGTTTATATTCTACTCCTATAACCCTGACTATTTTGCCCATCAAATCCCCCATTTGAAAACTCCCTAGCCCTGAGCTATAAAAATCCTTCTGGAGTGAAAGCGCTGCCAAGAAAAATTAATAGCAAAACTGTTGTTTACTATTGCCATAACTGAACTGAGAAATGCAGAATGTTCTATGTGTCACAGATAGGAGTGTTTAACACTGTAATCTGGAGGCTGTCACACATGTTGCAAAGCCAACTTGCCTGAATCAGGATGCTACTGATCCTCTAAGACTCGCTCAAATAATCTGGAAACTACCTCTTCCTAACTAAATGTGCTCCAAGGTTTCTCCTGGAAACTCCTTACCAGGACCTAGGCAGGGAAAGTAAGCCTAAGGTTGCATTTCCCAGATTCTTCTCTGCAACAGGATATTGGGGGAGGGATGATCATCTGAGTGCAGACAGTGCTTTGGTCCAAATACCAGTGGTTAACCAATGTAATATTTATCACATTTGCTTCTAGTGAGGCCCCTCCAAGTAGACTCTCCTACTGGAACCTGATCCTATATCCTCAGCCTCTAACTGGGTCATTGTTCCAAACCAGATAAAACTTTCAGGAACAAAACAGTACCTTCAATGTGATCCAGCTGTTTGCTTTTCAAACCAAGACACCAGTGGGCTTCCTCCCTGAGGCCTTAGAAGTTCAGACTGTAGGTAGGCCTTTCCTCAAACTAACTGATGAAGCCACACTGGTTCTCTGGACCTCAGCCTTCCCCTTCCTCACCCCATGTTTTCTACAATCCCAAGCAAACAGATCCCTGAAGGCCAAGCCATAGATGTTCCCACACTGCAAGCCAAATTGACTGCTGTCATTTAAATGTCTCTAAGCAAAGTCCCAACATTAGGTATACTAAAAAGCTACCCAGTTCTGGGCTCCCCGCCATAGAAATACTGTGGATGTTGTTCCTAACTCAGCTTATTAGACAATGGGATTAGCATGTCACAAAACATTACATGTTTTGGCACAAAGCCTTTATACCTACAGAATAGTATAAATCCTCCTTAAGGCATTCAAATGCAACCCCAAACGACTGATGCCCATTTTGTTAATCCCAAATCCCATAGTCTCCCAACTGCATTGCCTGTCTTGTCAATGGAGCATCTAGGCATCAGTCTAAAACAATACATCCTGAGTATGTACATTCCAGCTATTCCTTCCACTTTGAATGCACTGTTTTTGGGGTAGAGGGCATAGCTCATTTGTAGAGTGCTGGTCCAGAATGTGAAAGATCATAAGTCTGAGTTCCAGGACAGCAAATAAGGAAGAAAAAAAGAAGAGAGAGGCAAATGGAGAGGACAACCTTGAAAATTATGTCAGTTTTCAAGACACTGTCAAATGATACAAAAAGCATTATAGTTTGCAGCAGCATCCTGTGCTTATATATGGCTCATCTCTCTCTCTCTCTCTCTCTCTCTCTCTCTCTCTCTCTCTCTCTCTCTGCATGTGTGTGTGTGTGCGCGCGCGCGTGTGTGTATATTCTTCTATTGATCTGAAAATCACTGAGAATAAATGTTATTTATCTTAACAATGCCCCTCAGTCACACAGTCATGTAAGTCACGTACATATACTGGCCTAAGACATTATAAATGATCAGAAGAAAACTTCCAAATAGAATTTAGAAGTCAAATGTTTAAAAAATATAGGCTTATAAATTAGAATGCTTCCAGTTTTCCCTAATTGGCAATGCATATGCTATACATAAAATATAGATTTTGGATAACAACTATGAAGAAATTTAATCAAAGGGGCAGAAACACTAGACAAGAAACCCATAGTGAAAGGATTGAGCTTCCAGTGACAATCCCATTGTGAACTATCACCCAAGATCCCAAGGGACTGGCACATCTGTCTAAGCTGGCCATTATCCAATGATGCTTAGTTTGTGTTAGTATTTCAGTTTATTAAGACATTTGTTCAAACCCTTGAGGTTACCTATACTCACTTTTGTTAAGTGTTTCCTTTAGCATATTAAATAACTAACAGAGGATTTGCTGGGCCCTGGCAAATGCACACTAAATGCCTGAAATTAACAAATAGATCCCCAGAGTGAGGACTATCAAGGCTCTAGAGAGGAACTTCTTCTAAAATGAGGAAAGTGTGGGATCATGAAAGATAGAAAGTTCTGGGAAGTCTTTGGCCATTGGTAAGAAAAGAGAGGTGTATTTGCTTTTCACTGAAGGAAATTTATAATACTAGTGTAGATTTATTCATTTATTGTTATGATGATCTGTTTAATGGTGAGAGAATGTGATAACCCTAAACATAGTGAGTTATCCCTTTGATCAGTATGAAGTAGCTTTCTTTTCTTCTCATAACTTTGTGTTTGAAGTCTATTGAGCCACACATTAGAATGGGGACACCTATTTGTCTTCCTGTTCTAATTTTTTGGCATGAATTACCCTTCCCATCCTGTTCCCAGGATTGTATTTGTCTTTGATGGTGAAGTGTGTTTCTTTGAGGCTAGAAAATGGGTGAATTCTTGTTGTTGTTGTTGTTGGTGGTGGTGGTGGTGGTGGTGGTGTATCATTATCATTGCAGTAACCCAGTCTACTAGTTTGTGTTTTGGATCAAAGAATTCAAAGTCACTGTTGAATAGTGTGTGTTAATTCCCTCCATTGTGCTGATTTTGTTGTGTTTTAAATGCTTTTTCTAATTTTATTCTTTTCCTTTTGGGTTAAATTTCTTTATATTTGTTAGCCAACATCTCTATTTTATAAACTTAGCTTCCTGCATCTATTCCTTATCTAGCATGGCATATTCTTTCCTGTAGCCTCTTGGATATGTTTTCTCCTTAGAACAAAGGATTCTTTCAAGTACTGCCTGTGGTGCTGGAGTAGTGGTCATGAATTCCTCCATGTTGTTTTCTTCATGAGAAATTCTCTTTCAGTTACAGTTGATAGTGATGCTGTATACCTTAATCAGTACTGGCAGTTACTACCTTTCAGTGCTTGGAATGCATTGTTTGTGCCTTTTTGGATTTTAGAGAGTCTATTAAGAAACCTGCTGGGCAGTGGTGGCACACACCTTTGTTTCCAACACTCTCACAGTACAGATAACCTAGTCTACACAATGAGTTCTAGGATAGCCAGGACTACATAAGAAATCCTGCCCTGAAAAAAGCAAGAAATCAAAAACCAAAATAAAAAGAGAGAGGTAGAGGGAGGGAGGTGGAGAGAGGAAGGGAAAACTGCTGTGATTCTGATGGGTTTGTCTTTACCCAGCCCAGCCAAGTGGCTTGGTTCTTCTCTCACAGTTTTCAGGGCTTCTTTGCTCTTTGTGTTGACACTGTAATTATAACATCATGTAGGAAGATTCTCCTCTTGCCCTTCTGATGCTTTATAAGCATCTCTTTCTCTAGACTTGGGAAGTTTACTGCAAGGATTTTGTTGAATGACCCCCCCAATCCCCATCCCCCCGTCCACCACCCCCATCCTCCCACTCCCCCACCCCCTCAAACCTCCATCTCCCCACCACCCACCCCACCCCACCCCCGCAGATGGAGCCTTGCACTTACTTGGCAAGAGCTCTACCACTAAGCTAAATCCCAACCCCTTATTGAATTATTTTTTATGAATTTAGTCTGAAGTATTTCTCCTTCTATCCCCATGATTCCTAAATTTAGTGTCTTAATGGTATCCCATTGAATTATGTCTGTATCCTAGTATCCAAGAGATCAAGTATTTACAAGGACTTCTGAACTCATTGTACAAAAAAGAGCAATACACAAATATACTCTAAAATGCCCAAAATGGAGCCAGGCTGCCCTGCCTTGGGAGGCAGGTGACACTACACTAAACAAATATGTGATGAAGACATGGGAAAGACAGCAAAATGGACATGTATGTGCACTGTGGAGAAAGGCGGAACTGAAGATGTGACCATGGTAACAGGCATGGGAGAGGGCTGAGGCTGACAGTAGACCCCAGTGGGGTTGGCAGGGTGGTGTGCAGGCAGCCTGAAGCTTACTAAGACACAGACTCAGGCCTCAGGATCATCTGGCTCTGGGCAACAACAAAGGCCCGAGATGAAGAATGGTTTCTACATTGGACCTCCTCAAAGCACCTCCATGGTTTTTGATGCTACTGGAGTTCCTGTTGGTGTTGGTGGTCCAAATTATTTACCCATGTCATGATGAAGCCCGAGAACCATGTGGATGTTCACCATCTGTGCCACTGACTGAATGCATGGTGTTGTCCGTGGGCTGTGCTACAACTAGGGACCATATTGATGTGGATGGCCTGTGCTATCACCTGAGACCATGTGTGGGTACATGGTCCTGCTGTTGCCTGAGTCTGTGTTGATGTGCATGGTCTGTGATGCAGCCTGAAGCTATATTGATGTCTGTAGCCTATGTTGCCATAAGGGGACCATATTGTGGGTGGCCTATGTTGTCACCTGAAGCCATGTCGATGTCTGTGGCCTGGGCTTCTGTGATCCTACTGTAAGCTGGGAGGCTGTGTTAGTAATCTGTGCTGTTTGCCATAAACCTCATAGAACCCCACAGTCTGCGTTCCTAGTAACAGTAAAGGGCAAGGAAGTGACCTTTGCAGTGACATCAGT